AAAAAAAAAAAAAAAAAAAAAAATAGACTACGAATTCATAAAAAGTAGAAAATGTTCTGTTGAAGATGCGGTTGTTCTATCCCCTCCACAATAACTAAAAATTGCTGAAAGATCATAAATTAGTGTAGTTACAAAAGGCTTTAGAAAGAGTACTCCATTTGATGCAAACTTGAGGTATAGACGTGTCCCTTTTTTGAGGTATAGATGTTTACCTTTTCTTCTTCTTTTTTTAAAATTATAATTAAGAGAAAAAAAATTCATATCCTCCACCAATTCATTTATCAGAAAACTTACTAGAATTAGTTTGATGCCATTAGATGTTTAGACAATGTTAGGATGCCTTCGGTCGATGGCTCCTTATGAAGCATTGTTGCATTTGTACTAACGATCACAACAAACGAATATGCCAAACACAGAGTGTCGGCATTTTTTTTGGGTTTACTTCGTATCTTCTACAAATTCATTTGTTTGAATAAGTTGATGCCTTTATATGTTTATACAATTTTCCCACATTTTGGCTGATGAGCAGATGACATACAGAAGGCTTTTGGCAAGCATTTAGCAACATATGGAGGATTAGATATCTGTATCAACAGTGCAGGAATTGGCAGCAAAATAGTATTTCATAATGATGAAACTGATGGTGCTCAAACATGGAGACGTGTTATTGATGTGAACCTAATTGGTGTCATGGCATGCACTCAACTTGCAGTATGTCTTCATATGGGACTTGGTTTCCACCGTATTACTATGAAGTGTTGTTGAGGTCAAATTTGGTTTTACCATTTGGCTTGCTTGGAAATAGGAAATTCTACTCATTGGATGCCTGCTGGATCTTTAATAAATTCACTCTACCCTTCAACTGCATACCATCTGCACAATCACATTATATTTTCCATCTTTTAAGTTCAGCTAATTAATCCTTTTCAAATCATACCAATTCAGTCTCAAATTTAGTTTGCTTATGGAACATTTAATTTATCTGGTTAGTTACTGAGGGCATCCTTAATCCTATGACTTTTCTTGGTAATGAAAGAAATTTCATAGAGATTGGTTGTAGTCCTGGATAATCTGATTTTCCCACCCCTGAACATATTTAAATATATTGATTTTTTATTAATTAATCCTACATTTGTATGTAAGACTACATCTCCATCCTTCCCAAATGAACTAACAACGGTTCAAAATATAGTTGAGTAGGATCTTTGGGAGGAAGGACAGGAGAAAAGGAGAACATGGTTCACTTCTAACCATTAACATCCTGTAATGTGCATTTATGTGTGTCCTTTATCGTAACCTTTGTTTATATTAAAGTATTTAGAGTGGGAGGGGCATTGTTAATTAAATCATCTTTATATATTTGAGTAAAGAAGATCTAATATTGAATCGCTTGCTTTTTTGATGTGCAACCACAATTTATGGTTAATCTGTTTAAAGAGTTTAGAGTTCTATCGGCGTTCTCAACAAAATTTTCTGCATTTCTTCTTCAGCGACTTCTTTTGTGGCCTGCCTTTCAAAGCGGGGAAAATTCTATGCAACTTCGCATCGCGTCCTATTGAACTTTTTTAGAATCCATTCACTAATAACTAATTTCTTGTTGCCTCTCTGCTGTGTGGACCAGATAAAGACCATGAAATCATTGGGAAAACCTGGTGTAATTATCAACCTAGGTTCTGCTTCAGGTCTTTATCCACTATTTGCAGACTCAGCATATACTGCATCCAAAGGTATTTATGTCTTTTATTTGCTTTCTATTTTCTCTCATATCTCATGCAACTTGTTTTTCTTAGCTGTTTGTGGTTAGTTATGTGTTAGTGAATGACAACGATTTCAAAGGTGACTTTGAATTTATGTTTCTTTGTTTCCAGGTGGTGTTGTTATGTTTACCAGATCACTTGTGCCTTTCAAACGCAAGGGAATTCGAATCAATGTGCTTTGTCCTGAGGTAAGAAGATACGTTGAAGAATTTTATCAATGTTATCCAATGTTCCAAAAATACAATCTTGAGAGGGTGAACATCTTCAATCACCAATATATGATTGCTAAACGGGACACACACAAGATATATGAGATTATGAGTGATATGCTTATTGTGGCTTCTTGATGGTCTGATGACAATTACTTTGTGTTCAACTTTCTTCTGTTTTATGGTTCAATTACGTTACCTTTATTTCTTCATGCATTATGTGGTATAGTTGAACCTACTACATTTCTTCTTACCTGAAGGGATTTTCTACTGGTAGTTGGATTTCGCATTTAAGACTTCATGAACGAGGAAGTATTATCCCTTGGTTCTCTGGCTCTGGTTTCCTTGTGTATTATCCAAATTCATTTGCAGTTTCTCTCAATGTTTAGCTTCGATAACATAGTCAATTTTTGAGGTCCCATGTGTCATTTTTTGTGCATTGTTCTTAGTCCTCATTTTAACTTTTAGTTGTTTGCACTATTTATTCACCTATATTCATCGATGAGTACCAAATATTTATCTGCGTGTGTTCTCTAAATTTCTTTGCAGTTTGTTAAAACAGAGCTGGCCTCAACAGCAATAGGTGAAAAGTTTGCTGAACGATCGGGAGGTTATGTTCCCATGGAAATGGTTATTAAAGGTTCTTTATTCAATGCCCTTTCATGGATAATTTTCGTGGCTGAATTAATGTAAATAGGGGGGAAAAAGAAGAGAAAAAAGACAGCATAATTTTAGAAGACCACAAAAGACTCTTTGGATCTGAGATTTTGGTGATGCTTTTAAATTGCACATATTATAGAAAAGGGCCTTCCTTTGTTTCTCAAGAATTAGTACACTTGTAATTAATCTCATCGTGTGTATCTAGTTAAACATGTCAGAAGGATGTTGCAAATCAAACTCTTCTCCGTGCATTTTCCAATGAAAGTCAGATTCTAATATTCCATGCTCAAATGCTTTTTAGGTGCGTTTGAACTAATCACTGATGAGAGCAAAGCTGGTTCATGCCTGTGGATTACAAATCGCAGAGGGATGGAGTACTGGCCCACCCCTACAGAAGAAGCAAAATACTTGCTTCCTTCCTCGAGTTCAAGAAAAAGATCTTCATCGACATTTTTTCAGAAAATTGATGTTCCCCAAAGTTGTGAGAAAGTGTGCGTAATACTCTATGCTTTCGCCCTATTTTGGTTTGAGATTATCTGAACTGCAACTCATTTGGAAATTCCTTTGTATACTATTAGATTCAATTTTATGAAGGATGAATTTTGATATGGTTGTTTTGAAAATTGGTATACAGTTGACTGAAGTGCAACATCATGCATCGTTTCATCTTTGATGTCTATGATTTGGGTGGACATAAATGAAAACAATATCAGATTATGTGTCAATACCATGTCTTTTTTGTAGCATGTTGGCTGCTATGTTTTTAGTTGATCTAGTCGTGCATCACTGATCAGTAATCGCTCACATTTTCATTTAATCATTCTTCTAGAGTTGTTCATACTCTGAGCCACAATTTTCGTGGAGCAACTAGCATCGTGCGTGCACCATTGAGACTACCCATTAGACCAGATCATGTTCTCGTGAAAATCATATATGCTGGCGTAAATGCAAGTGATGTAAGTGTCAAAATCTCAAAGTTTCAATAAATTTTATTGTCGTATAGTGTTTACCATTTTCTTCATGCTGAATTTTCACAAACACTTCCTATGTTCCTTTTCGTTTACATTTTTCTTGTTTGAAAACCTTACTGACCCCTATTATTTGTAGCTGCTCCTTCTTCATTTTATAAGAATGCGGTCCTTTCTGGCGACAAAACTTCCGAGGATAATTCTCCTAGACAGATGTATTTTTACTCTAACTCAGACACTGAAGGCTTCTTCAAATCACCAACTTTTATACGTATCAATGATGTTAGTTTGGTGATACTGAGACCAGATCACCTGTCATTCAGAATTTACTTTCTGACTCCTAAATATAATCCTCATGCTTGAACGATCCTCTCCTTACTGTCTAAGTACATACCTATAGTGTTACTAATAATGATGTGAATAGTTGCATTACCGTGGTTGGAATTCTTGAATCAATTTTTTGTAAAAAAATTACTTATTTTATTAACGCGGTTGGAAGAAAAAGGTTGCTGGAAAACTGCCCTGTCATTAGAAGAAAAAGCATTTTATTATTAACATAAACAACATGATTGGTTAAAAATTAGGAAAAAGGTCAAATGCATCATGTCGTGACATATAGTACTTTTGTTTTCCAATTATTTGCACTCTTATCATTTCTACTCTCACAGCTTGAAGGACTGTTATGTCCCACCCCCAGGTTCTATTACTGTAATAATGTGTACAAAGATCTTGTTTCTCCTCTAACTGGTGGTATAATTTACAGGTAAATTTCAGCTCAGGTCATTATTTCGGTAGCAGCAACCAAGATCTTCATTCTCTCCTTCCATTAGATGCTGGATTTGAGGTCTCGGGTTGACTGTTTAATTTTAGGTTAATAAAACCATTGCTTCCTACTATTGTACTTAATTTCTTTAAATAATAAAATTAATTTTCATTGCAGGGCGTGGGTATAATTGCAGCAGTTGGTGATTCTGTCACTCACCTGAAAGTTGGAACTCCTGCCGCAATGATGACATTTGGAAGTTATGCAGAGTTCGTCACAGTAAAGTTCTCTTAAAAACTTTGGCTCAATAATTGAGGCTTGGGATGGTTTTCTCATCGTTATGCATAATTTGTTTCCAATTATTTCAATCTCACTCTTGTAAGGTTATTTTGATTGTATATGAGTTATGTTTTTTAGTTGTTTCAGTGGAGCCTTTGGTTTCTTTGTGTTGTTGTCCCCTAATACTTTAGCTTGATGGCTCTTTTTTTTTTCTTTTTCAATTTTTTTCCTCTTCCATCTCACTCTCGGGAGTTAGCTTGTTGATCATTTTCATAAGAAAAAAATAATAATAAATAAAAGAGAGAGAGAGAGAGAGATTATTGCATATGTCAATGTTTGAAATTTGTACTGACAACTATCTCTGTGGTTATTGATGCTTTTGGTTTCACCTGAATAGATACATTCAAAACATGTCCTTCCTGTTGCAAGACCTGATCCAGAAGTTGTTGCCATGCTGACTTCAGGACTAACGGCATCAATTGCTCTACAAAAGGTTTTTTCTGAAAATTGTGACCATTTCCTTCTTCTCACAGATTTATTTACATTTTCTACAAACAAATTTTATCAACTTCCGACTTTTTGCACAAAATTCTTTATGCGATGGTCTGATCATTTTATGCTTCTCTCAGACATTGGTTCTCTTGCATGCTGATAATTGTTTTCACCATTGATCTAGGCAGGGCAAATGGAATCTGGAAAGGTTGTTCTTGTTACTGCTGCTGCTGGAGGAACGGGGCAATTCGCTGTCCAGGTATATAATTGCCTATCGCTCTAGTACTAGCGTCATTTCACTTTGTTTAACATATAATGTAATTTTCCTAGAACGATGTGAAGAAATATCTCAATTGTGTGTAGATTGAAATTCTTTTATTTAGTCATATGAGAAAATTCCTTCTAGGTCTCCTCCTTGCTCAATCTGTTTCTACCTTTCCTGACATTTGTGATAATTACTAATTTCAGTTGTTAGATAGATGTCATTCATTTCACATTATTTCCTAATGTACAGCTTGCCAAGTTAGCTGGAAATAAGGTTGTTGCAACATGTGGAGGTAAGGACAAGGCCACGCTTTTGAAAGAATTGGGAGTTGATCGAGTTATAGATTACAGATCTGAAGACATTAAAACTGTACGTTTCCAAAAACATTTTTAAGTTTTTCATTATCCTTTTTCTGAATCTTATTGGTTAGCAGGTGCTAAATTGAAACCGAAAGGAAAGCTTTGCTTGTGAGTTAGATCTAGAACAATAATATGGACAATCTATATGACTACTTGAATTAGGTCTCCAACTCCCCCTCCATCCCAGAAGAAAAGGAGAAAAAGTAAAAACTATTATGAAAAATCTAGTCATTGAGTTCGGGAGGGGTATATTTACAGTTTTTAGTTTGCCAGGTTCTAAAGACGGAGTATCCTAAAGGCGTTGATATCATCTATGAGTCAGTTGGAGGCGATATGTTTAGTTTGTGTCTGAATGCATTGGCTACCTATGGACGACTAATTGTGATCGGAATGATCTCACAGGTTAGTTTTCTAGAAATCCTATGTCCATCCTGTTGCTTTGTTCTTGACTGCTTTTGTTACTGGAACATTTCAACTGTAGGAATGCTGTATTTTCATTTTTGTGAAATCTGCACCAGTTTATATTTTCAATGCCAATCAATATTAACCGAGCCGAAATATATTTCTTGCCAATCAATGTGAAATTTGAATGAAAATCTCTATTTTTCCATGTGGTAAAATTTCGCTTGGTAGATTAAATGTGGGTGTTACTGAAGCTAACACGAGTTTCACAAATTGAAGTTAAGACCACTTGAATCAATATTTTACTTTGATCTATCATAAATAATTGTTGAGGATCCACATGAACTTTTAAACGTTTAAGTGAAATTATTCCTCTATCTTTCCCCATCCTAATTGCTTAGAAATATAATTTGTAATTTTGTTGTTCATAGGTCCACCCCACGTGTATTATTCTCAAAATTAATAAGTATCTTTCTCCTTGAGTTCCTTGTTATATTGTTTCATTTTCATCGCAGTATCAAGGAGAACACGGGTGGGAGCCATCAAATTACCCAGGACTTTGCGAGAAAATTCTAAAGAAGAGCCAAACTATTGTATGTTTCCATATCATTCCATGATGACTGTTATATCTCATATTTCTTTAATATCCTATGAACATCCCCTCCATCAATGTACTGCAACGTCCTCACCTAAAGTGCTACATAAGAATATCTAGCTAACTCAAGTTCTGCACTACCTTTTCCAGATAGCGCATGAACCTATTCTACTTCGTTGTAAAAGACGAAAATTATGGAAAATGAAAACATTCTTCCTGTCTCTACCCTGCTTGTATCTACTACTTGTGCAATAATTTTGTCATTCAATTTCACGACAAGTTCTTACTTAATCTTCAGGCTGGGTTCTTCCTCATACAATATGCTAACCTCTGGCAGCAACATTTGGATAAGCTATTTCATCTCTTCTCCTCAGGCAAGCTGAAGGTATTGCTTAAGCTCTGCATTGTACTGCAGTTTTATGGTGTCAATATTTGTGGGATCCCGTCCTCACTTGGGAATGATTTATATACATATAAATATAGTGCCCATCTTATATCTTTGAACAACTTTAAAGTGTAGAGATTAAATTTGTAATTTAACAAAATTCTTATTGTACAACATTTGTAACTTCTTTCTACCTCGATGATAAAAGAAATCCCATTGATTCAAAGTTTCTTTACAGGTTCGTGTGGATCCAAAAAGATTTTTAGGCGTGCAATCCGTTGTAGACGCCGTTGAATATCTGCATTCAGGCAAAAGTGTTGGCAAGGTATGGGCTTTCTCTTTCTTTGAACCAATGTTGATAATGTATGAACTTCTAAATAGTTTTTTTCTTTAATCTAAATTTTCCTGAAAAACATTTTGGGTAACAAAAACAGGTTGTTGTTTGCATCGATCCAACCTTCATCGAACACAAATCAAAGCTCTGAACCTGAAATATGCTACCAGCAAAGTTATAACTTTGGATTGTCAGAGCCAGAAGAGAACCAAAGCTAACTCTTGCTGTGAAGTCCAAAACATCCAAAACCTTTGCAGGGAAATCTCTTATATGACCAATAATCCCATTTTCTTTGTGGAAGAATAAAAGGTACTAAGGTGGTAATGGTCGAGGCTCATTTATTCTAAAGCATGTGCTGTAGGAATTCTGTGACTGTCCATTTAAAATTATGGTAGAATGATCGTACTTGAGCCTTGCTCGTACATTATTTATTTTAGTTTAATTTAAAGAGATTGATGTTCAATCCTTTATTTTTTTTAATTTCATAAATGTCGGTATGAGAATTTAAATCTCGTATCTCAAGAGAAAGATTATTGGTCAATTGCTATTGAACTATATTCATGTTCTTATCTCCTCCAAATATGTAAGGAAATGTGTTCATTACACTCTAATTGATTGTTTGATTCACGAGTTAAATTTGTGTAATTTGAGATTGAGAAGTTGTTAACGGATACTCAAATAGATGGATTTCTTATTTCTTATTTCACGGGATTGTATAAATCCTTTATGCAAATTATAAATGAAATTAAGTGCGAACTTATTATATTTGGTGCTTTAAATTATATACTAGACGAAACGAAGGATTCCTGAGAGCTCAGTCAATCCTCAACATTCTTTCTCTTCTCCTTCAAACACTCTTTCACTCCTTTGCAAAAATCCGAAATTTGAGATTTTCATGTGCTGTCACGCTCCCTTCCCGTCTATGGCCGAAAGGGCACTTGTGCTTGCCAGGAAAGCTAGCTAGTTAGTTGTTTGTTTGTTATTACTCTCTCTCCTGATTGAAGAAGGTAAAGAAAGACTACTGGATCCGCTGCCTTATTATTTTATTTTTAAGTATAAAATAATTCATTAAACTATTCACTTTTATTATCTTTTTTTTAAATTAAAAAGTCTTAATTTTTTTAGTTTAACAAGAGATTCAAACTTTTAACATTTTAGTCGATGATATATCTCTTAATAGCTTTAACTATGCCCAAACTATACTCCTACTTCTTTTTTCTTTCTTTTTTTTTACTGTATTTATAATTAGTTTTTATTTTTTTTTTCTACCATTGTGTTCATACATGGACCATATTATTATAGCTTCCAAAATTGTTATATATATTTAATATTGTATCTTTAGGACATAGCCTTATATAATTTATTACAAATAATATATTTTCTTTTTATTGAAACAAACAGCCCCTATAGCTCAGTGGTAGAGCGTCAGTCTTGTAAACTGAAGGTCTGTAGTTCGATCCTGCATGGGGGCATTCTTTTTTCTTTTTTTTGCTGCAATGGCAGAAGGTTCTTACAGCTCTGTTTCGCAAGATATGCTGCAGCTTCCAACAAAAGCAAACAAACTCTGCAAACCCCAAACTGTCCACTTCCTTTAATTTTCTTTTCAGATAGACCGATGCAGGATGACCAAGACATCGATGAGAACGAGTGGAAGACTTTCAGAAATCTTATCTAAATCCAAGTCTTTTTTGACGTGTCTAGTTGTGTTTTGGTATAAAATTTATTTTTTCATTGGTTGTTTATATTGGTTCTGACGTAAACTTAATTATAAATATACGTAGATTATGGTTGTTGAATTTCGAACTGGTTTTAAAATATGAAGCGTTCTCGAATCAAGCTTTGCATGTCATGGAGGCTGAAGAAGAAGCATGTTAATGATATCAATCCCATATGTCAGGCAAGAGCATAAACAACAGCCTGATATCACTAACACTGAAGTTTCAGAAATATGTGTGTTCAAAATCAAATATATGTTGTTTGTTCAGTTTAAGTATATACATTATTCAAACATCCAAGTGAGGAGAGAGTCTGTGAACATAGAGGAGGTTCCCTTTTTACACTTAGCCTTCTGTACACTAAAACCCTATCAACAAAAATCCCTTCCTCAATACCATCAACACTCTGTTAATACACTATAACACATCTCTGACCCATCAACGAACTAGAGGCCACGACGTACCCTATCGCACGATAGAGCTACTTTTCTAGTATTCGAGTCCACGGCGATGATCCAGACTCATCCTTTCGTCCTCATAAGGGAGGGAGGGATTCTCTGTCTAGCGTTTAAATTAGATGTGCTACTAATGCCTCGAAAGCTAGAGGTTAGATGAATTCACAGCTAGCAGCCTAATCTATGTCATAGTCTAGAGCGACGGATAAACTTCGTACCGGGAAAAGATGAGTGTCTGCGAGCTGAAGCGAGTGGTTGTCCGTTTAGAGAGCCATGGAACTTTATATCCCAACCTTCAACGTTTTTGGGCACACAAACATCAAAGAGGAATTGGCCGAGGACGCTATGTGCACTGATGCCTGTAGGGCTTGAAAGCGGAGACGTTCTTTCTTTTGGATCGGGTGAGGAAGGATGCTCTCGATGATCGTGGGAATCAGCTGAGCTTGGCAAGAAGAAGTGGTCGCTTGGTCCAACGGCTACTCTTCTAAAACTCTGATTTGAATTAACAGCTGCATTCTGAAGATCACATATCAATTCAGGCATTTCATCATCTTCCACGCCTCTTCTTTCTCCTTTGAATTGCTGGATTTTTTGGGAATAAACAGATGCCGCCTTCTCAAGAAATATAGTCACAGCAGCTCTGTACTGAGCTGGGTAGTTCTTGTAGTGACCTGACATGAAACAGATATCACATATGATTAACAGATATCACTTGGAAAACAGGTTCCTCCTAATATTTGATTGACCCACATAGATCAACTACCCTCCCATCTCCATCAACAGAAAATAAAAGGAAATAACATTTATAGTAAGCCACGAAGGGGGGTGGATACTGGACGGTGTGCTAGCGAGGACGCTGGGTCCCGAAGGGGGGTGGAATGTGAGATCCCACGTCGGTTGGAGAGGGGAACGAAGAATTCTTTAGAAGGGATTGGAAACCTCTCCCTTGTAGACATGGTTTAAAAACCTTGAGGGGAAGCCCGAAAGAGAAAGCCACCCTAGCAGACGCGGTTTAAGCCTTGAGGGGAAGTCCGAAAGGGAAAGATCAAAGAGGACAATATTTGCTAGCAATGGGCTTGGGCTGTTTCAAATTGTATCAGAGCCAGACAACGGGCGATGTACCAACAAGGAGAGTAAGCCACGAAGGGGGGTGGATACTGGACAGTGTGCTAGCGAGGACGTTGGTCCCCGAAGGGGGGTGGATTGTGAGATCCCACATCGATTGGAGAGGAGAATGAAGAATTCTTTAGAAGGGATTGGAAACCTCTCCCTTGTAGACACAGTTTAAAAACCTTAAGGGGTACCTCGAAAGGGGAAGCCCACCCTAGCAGACGCGGTTTAAAAACCTTGAGGGGAAGTTCGAAAGGGAAAGACCAAAGAGGATAATATTTGCTAGCGGTGGGCTTGAGCTGTTACAAATGGTATCAGAGCCAGCCAACGGGCGATGTACCAACGAGGACAGTAAGCCACAAAGGGGGGTGGATACTGGACGGTGTGCTAGCGAGGACGTTGGTCCCCGAAGGGGGGTGGATTGTGAGATCCCACATCGGTTGGAGAGGGGAACGAAGAATTCTTTAGAAGGGATAGGAAACCTCTCCCTCGTAGACACGGTTTAAAAACCTTGAGGGGAAGCCCGAAAGGGAAAGCCCACCCTAGCAGACGCGGTTTAAAAGCCTTGAGGGGAAGTCTGAAAGGGAAAGTCCAAAGAGGACAATATTTGCTAGCGGTGGGCTTGGGCTGTTATATCACCCGACCCAATTGTTAAGAACAATGAATGACTATTCTCGTTAACTGCATCTAACCAACCTAGCAACCATATATTTCAACTTGCATTGAAAGGCGAGCTGCTTGTTGGAGGTAAAAGTACACGCATACGAAGTTACAGAAACTATGCCTTTGTTCTAAATGAAAATACTAAAATGTAGAGAGTCAGTTTGAGACAAACCCAAATGTGGGGAGCCATTGAATTTTATCAGCTGAACATCAGCCCCCAATTCTTGAATACTCTTGGTGAAATTACAGATGACTTCATATGGAGCACGATCATCCTTTTCGGAGCACATAATGAGAAACGGAGCACCAATGTTCTGATAAAATCAAGAGAACTTATAAACTCATGAATATGAAACGAAGTTCAGGAAACTAAACATAAACTCGGAAGCTTACAACAGAAAAGCACAGCGTCCGCCAATACTCATCACGCTGTGAATCAAACCTAGTAAGATATAGAGCATCGAGACCAGAAGATACGCCTTTTGCAAGCCAGGAGATAAGTTGAGATGATCCAGGCATTTTCAAAATAGCTGGATGTATGGCGAATCGAGCACCCAAGTCGCTTATAAGCTCGACAGGACTGGAATCGTAGATGTGCCCGGAAACACAAGTTCGGATCATTTGACATTCAGTCTTCACATTAAAAAGAAATGAAAAAACTGTCATTCGCCAGTTCGATTTCAATTCGAATCGATATCACAAGGAAGCTTTTACTACAAGAGAAACTTAGAGAATTTAAAAGAATGACAAGCTAACCATGTAAAGTGGGCTGCCACATCTTCCCTCGATAATCTGCAGTTCATGTAGTAAATGTATTGACAACGTGATAGTAGCAAGAACATTAGAAATTCAATAAGGATATAAATAGAAAACACAGGAATTCTACGTAATTGAACTAAGCACCTGCAAAACCCTGCACATACAAGCCTTTGATGCACCACTTAGAGCTACAAAAACTATAGGACGCAGCTTCAGCCTTAGCTCCTGTAAAGAATATCTATCTCATTACAATAGTTTATGATGGCTTTTTGTGTACAATTTAGTAAGGGTTTCAACACCACAAATGAGTTCATATCTGCTCTGTTAAACTTAAACCCAGATTAAACCACATGATTATAAACTAAAAAAGTGTAAACGAATGAGAAATTTATGAGAAATCATCCGCCACTGACCTCAACAAGCTCATTAATAACAAGAAATGCCAGTGATGTAGCCCTTTCAGGATCAAATCTGAATGAATTGTGGTTAGGAGGAACAGAAGAACACGATTAGAGACGATGAAAACGAGAAACCCTTCAGCTAAATCTTCTTCCAAGAACATACGATTAGAGAACTAAAGTACACAGATGAAGAATCCAAAAAGAATTAAAAATTCTCCTCCTGGGAGACGAAGAAAAAGATGAACATCGATGACCCAAATAACAAAATCGCAAGATGAAGATGAAAAAAGAACTCACATATTGAGAAAATCGGCATAACAAACAAGGGAATTCCATCCAAGCGAGGCATAAAGGTTTACAAATTTATCCAAGTGGCGATGCTGAATCGAAACCCAAGCGAATATAACAACAAGACCTCTACTATTCCGGGGCTGATTTCTCGTCCCCCAGTAAACACTTCCACCGCCAACACCCCCACCCAACATCGCGGCGGAGATCAAGCAAAATTGAATTAAGCAATTGAGTTAAAAGGGTGAAGAAGGAGGGGCTGAGGGAATTCGGAGCTCAGAGCGTGTGAGATGGCACGTGGAAGAGGTGCGCTGCAATGGAGGATGGCGTTTGGGAAAACAAAATCGATGGTTCATCAATAATGCGGTGGTGGAGCCGGGAAAATCCACACCTCCTTCTCTCTCCTCCTATTTCTCTCTCTTCTTTTCTTCGTCGGAGTGGGACCCCATTGTCAATGCACATCCTAACGCAGTGGCTCTTCTGCTCTTCCTTTCAAATTCTTTTTGGATAAGTTTTTGTCGCTCCTTCCCTTTCCTTAGTGTACGAGTATTCAAACGGCGCCGTTCGTCCATATTGGGCCGTAATGGACCATATTGGGCTTTGGGATAAATGGGCGGTAATGGACCATATTGGCCTTTGGTCCATAATGGGTCGTAATGGACCCTATTGGGCTTTGGGATAAATAGGCCGTAATGGACTATTACGGCTTTGGGATAAATGGGCCGTAATGAACCATATTGGGCTTGGGGATAAATAGGCCGTAATGGACCATATTGGGCTTTGGGATAAATGGGCCGTAATGGACCATATTGGGCTTGGAGATAAATGGGACGATATTGGGCTTTTGGATAAACGAGCCGTAATGGACCATATTGGGCTTTGAGATAAATAGGCCGTAATGGACCATATTGGGCTTTGGGATAAATGGGCCGTAATGGACCATATTGGGCTTGGAGATAAATGGGACGATATTGGGCTTTTGGATAAACGAGCCGTAATGGACCATATTGGGCTTTGAGATAAATAGGCCGTAATGGACCATATTGGGCTTTGGGATAAATGGGCCGTAATGGATCATATTGAGCTTTGGGATAAATGGGCCGTATGGACCGTATTGGCTTGGGAAAAATGGGCCATAATGGACCATATTGCGCTTTGGGATAAATGGGCCGTAATGGGCAGTATTGGGCTTTGGGATAAATGTGCCGTAATGGACCGTATCGGGCTTTGGGATAAATGGGCTCTAATGGACCATATTGGGCTTTGGGATAAATGGGCCGTAATGAACCATATTGGGTTTTGGGATAAATGGGCCGTACTGGACCGTATTGGGCTTTGGGATAAATCGCTGTAATGGATCATATTGGGCTGGGAATAAATAGGCCGTACTGGACCATATTGGGCTTTGGGATAAATGAGCCGTAATGGACCATATTGGGCATTGGGATAAACGAGCCGTAATGGACCATATTGGGCTTTGGGATAAATGAGCCGTAACGGACCATATTGGGCATGTGGATAAATAGGCCGTAATGGACCATATTGGCTTTGGGATAAATTGGCCGTAATGGACCATATTGGGCTTTGGGAGAAATGTGCCGTAATGGACCATATTGGGCTTTAGGATAAATGGGCCGTAATGGACAATATTGGGCTTTGGGATAAATGGGCCGTAATGGAGCATATTGTGCTTTTGGGATAAATGGGCCGTAATGGACCATATTGTGCTTTTGGGATAAATGGGCCGTAAAGAGAAGCAATGGACGGAAAGGAGAGAGATCGGTTGTGGATTTGGATTGAATTTACGTAATTTTGGAGTTCGATGAGGAAAAAAATATAAAAATAAAATAAAAAAGAATCCTTGGAAGGGTTTTTGGCGAACCTGAGGCGAAAGCTCTCCAAGTTCTTACTTTCTTCTTCCTCTCTGTTCACAGTTCCATATCAGATTTTTCCAATGGGAAGTAACGCCGCTGCCGTCGAGAAAACGGAGGAGGATCTTCGCAAGGAGATCGATGAGCTTCAACGTCAACAACGAGAGGTCTTTCTTATTCTTATTCTTCTTCTTCTTCACGTTTTTCTATGTGTTTAGTTCTTTCTTTGTTTTTTTTTTCTTCCTTTTTTGGATATTTAGTGATGCATTGATGTTGTTTCAGATTACTGAACGGCTTCGTGATCCTCGTGGACTCCGGAGGGGAGGATTTCCGGGACCTGGGCCTAGAAACTTCGCCGCTAATGGACCTCGTCGGGGCTTTGTTCGACCTGTAATATAATTTCCTCTTTTATATATATTTTAAGCGCATTCTATCTCTCTAGTCGTTATGCCTAGTTTTATTTCGTGCAAATGAACTAGTTGGTTGAGATGAAACGATACTTTTGCCTCATGGAGCTTGGTTTTAATTTTAATTGAATCCCTTTGGCAATTTGGGTGAAAAGCGCGAGGAATTCTTTCGTGGTTGATTCTATTGTAAACAATTAACGTATACTGATAATTCGAGTGTTACACTTCAGGCGGAAAGGAACGATGCTGAAGACCAGCCACCTGCTAAGAGACGGCTATCGTCTGCAGTTGTTAAGGTGAGACTCAGAAGTGGATTTCTTTTCTTTGGGTTTCTTGCTGGGGTGTTCTTAACGGTTTTTTAATGTCTTAGTCTAATCTCGTTTGTGCAGCAATCTTTCTTAAGAGTGAATGAAAGGAAAATAAAAGATTGCGACAAAAAAGTAACAAGCATGTCAATTGAAACATAAATCTTGAATAGAATATCTAGCAAAGAGTTTAGAGAGAGCACATTAAGAGCAGGCCTTCAAGCGAGCCGAGATGAACTGAGTATGAATTAAACGAGATAACTTAATGAATTTGAAAAATGGGCTTGGTTGGCCTCATATTTTTCTTCAAACCAGGACTGCCATGATGTACATTTGTGTAGTTTAGCAATCACCTTTTTTCTTAATTTGATTTTGATTTTTGGTTTTTTGATCTTTTTATCCTTTTTTTTATAAATATTGGAGCATAGATGGAGGAGGATGGGGAGATAAATGAAGAAGCTGAAGGAAAAGATGCAGTGAAGGATACATCTCTGGAAGAAACTTCTGGAAGTGATGCAGCCTACCAGAACGATGGGAAACAAGATCATTTGCGGCAGAGTAGTTCATTAAGATTGGATGGAAATAAAAGAACAGCTAGGATGGTAATTTCCGTGTATTCTTTTATCTTTTAGTCATCTAACTGATGCTTTGGTTTAACACTGCACACCAGAAGTCTCACATTTCTGTTTAATGTTCTCTATTAGGATTTCGATGTTCCACCTGCAGAGCATGTTCCAAGGATATTGCCTAAGAATGAGGATCCTAGCTTAGTTAGCAGGAACAAGAGAATGCTGGGTCAGCTTTTGGGAACGCTAGAGGTATGCGTAAAACAATTGATTGGGTTAAATTCCTCATGCCTTGCATAATTTTTCCAGCTTCAATTCTCTAATTTTCGCACTTGAGAGAAAAGGGTAGAAAATATGTATATTTCATGTTTCCAATCGTTTTGTTAACAATTCTCTTATCTTCGCACTTGGGTTAAATTCGTTAGAGGTATGTGTAAAATAACTGGTTGGCAGGTTGCTTATTTAGGGCATCATATTCACCATTTTGGTGCTTATCCATTTCCTTTGTATAAATCTTCAGAGATTCAGGAAAGAAGACAAGCAACTTTCAGGAACTGAAGCTTTCATGAGAAGAACAGATTCCTTACAAAGAGTGAGTTATTATATGTTCTTTTGTAAAATTTAACTTCCCAGTACGTTTGAGGTTGATTTCCCCATTTGATAACTTTTTAAAGGCTGAGCAAAGAGCACGAGAGGAAAGTGAAAGATTGAGGCAGCAAGAGCGTGAACAAATTGCAGAGAAACGCAAGAGAGATCTGGTTTGTAATTCAATGAAAGACTAGATTACTTAAACATTTATGAGATTTGAATCTACAATTATTGGTCTTTTTTAACCACTTCTATCTTCCACTTCTTAGATGCTCAGAGCTCGCGTGGCTGCCAAGGCAGAAGAAAAGAAGTTGGAATTACTTTTCCTTCGATGGAGCGAGCACCATAAGAAACTTTGCAATTTTATAAGGTCTGGTTGTGTTTAATTTTCACGAAAGCATTTGCTATTATCACTTCCGAGATTACCGAGCTACATCATTGATCTAACCTTTCTATTTATGCAGGTTATTTTTAATTTTGGTCCAAAAGTGTCCATATTCACATTTTATTGAGACAAAGATAAGTTTCTGTTCATGAATAGTGTTGAACTAAATTCATAGGTTTTGATTAAAATGATATTAAAGAATGCTGACCTTACCAATGGATGTTTCCTTTTCTGCTGGAACTTAAGTTACATTCGAAGGTTTCTTTTTCCTTATAATAGGACTCCCCTTTTGATTTTGAGGGAACATTTTCACCAATTTTGTATTTTCCAGGACAAAGACAGAACCTTCAATTTATTACTTGCCAAATAAACCATTGGATGACGACGCAACCTCGGCCGAGCAACGAAGAGAGGAGGTTAGATATTTTCTTGAAAAGGCAATTTTACTTGGACATCTTTTGCAAGAACCTAATGCTACTTGAATAGTCATGTTACTCCCTTCAACCGAATTGAGAGATTTTATTTGATTTTATTGTTTGATTCCAACCATAGTCGAGTCTCGTTTGTTACCGAACTCTTTTGTGATGGGAAAATTATTTAGCGAGGCTGCCACAGTGTCGCTGGCTGTTTCTTTTTACCGTTGGATTACGAGAGAAAAATATCTTGAATTTAAAATCCAGTGATTATCATGATCGAATAAATGTTTTAATCTACATTCTATGATTATTATGAGAACTAAATGTTGTGGGTGGGGGGTTTCCTGTTGATTGTTCCATTGGGAATACACATCGTCAATAATGTTAGCGTTTACCGGGTTCACATTTTTTTATCACAAAAATGCATTTCAGGCTTTTATGGAGTGGAAAGCCTCCAGAATGGAGGAGCTATCTGAGTATCAGAAACAGATAGGAGAACAGTATATTGCTAATGTTGAGAAGGACTTGGAGAGGTGGCAAAATGCAAGGAGAGCAAGAAAAGGAAACAATGACGTATCGAATTTGCAGGAAACCATGGACAAAGAATTGGACACCCATAGACTTGAGCATGGTCCAAAGAAAAGGAACATCCCTGGTGGTAGCAACAACGAGGACGAAGATGATGTGGAAGATATTAACGTTGGGGAGGACGACATGATAGACGACGTACTTGGTGTCGAAGATAATGGGCGCAGGGGCGAGGAAACAGCAAAACCCGAAGCTGATGTTGCGAGTCCGAAAGCTGCTGATAATACTGTGGAGTAGAAGTAAGTAGTACCTATTTGATTTCACGCAGTAGTCCTTTGTTTGTGTTTGTTTGTATCCTGCCATGATTTGTCTTAATAGTTTTGTTCTTCTTGCCTTTTAAATTATTGTTTGTGTTTCTAAATCTTACCAATGGACTCCACACACTCTTTCGTTCTACTTTTTTCACAGCCTTTATAGAATTGTTAGGATGCTCAGTCACCATGTTATCTCAAACCATGACTTGAATATTATATTAGTCCTCTACCTCCTCTTCTCCGTCTTCTCGTACTGCTCTGTATCTCTTCTCTTTGTTAGGAATTACGACTCCCCACAATGGTATGATATTGTCCACTTTGAGTCTAAGCTCTTATGGCTTTGCTTTGGATTTCTCCGAAAGGTCTCATACCAATGGAGATAGTATTCCTCACTTATAAACCTATGATTTTTCACCAAATTAACCAATGTAGGACTCTCACTCCCAATAATCCTCAACAATCCTTCCCTCGAACAAAGTACATTATAAGTCTCCCCTTAATCGAGGCTTGACTCGTTTCTCTGGAGCCCTCGAACAAAGTATACCATTTGTTCGACACTTTAGTCACTTTTGACTACACCTTTGAGGCTCACAATTCTTTGTTCGATATTTAAGAATTCTATTGACATGGTTAGATTTAGAGCATGACTTTGATACCATGTTAGGAATCACAACTCTCCACAATAGTATGATATTGTCAACTTCGAACATAAACTCTCGTGGCTTTCCTTTGGGCTTCCCAAAAAGCTTTGTACTAATGGAGATAGTATTTCTCACTTATAAACCAATGATCTTCCACTCAATTAACCAATGTGGGATTCACTTCCAATAATCCTCAACACTCCTTGACCTTCGCCACAACCACGGTGGCGGTGACTGCGATGCATCGGTCAACATTCGGTTGTCGTCAACTGCAGTGAATGAATCCGAACAAAGTCGGAATCAAGAGGGGTGATTGGAAGTTTATAGTGGTACGGCGGGATTCCGTTAGGGAAAGCGGTAGTTCCTGGGTTTTACCAAGAGGCGCACAGTCAGAGAGAGGTGGAGGCGACGATTGCCGTGGATGGAGTGAATTTTCTTCAAGCCGACGCCGCCGATCTGATCAGAGACGCTTCGTTGGCGCCAGGATTCGCGTCCTGGACTTCGATTCTACCGGCATCCAGGTCCGTTCCTTTCACTTCCCCCCACTTCTTGTCCGGTTTTTATCCTGCTTTAAAAAAAATATTAAAATGTATTTTTTATAAGTAGAGTATTTATAACAAAAAGCAAAATAAAAATCATTTTATGGTTTTTTTTTTTAAGTTTAAGAAATTAGAGATATATTTAAATTTGAGTTTTAGAAATTACATTAAATTATATGTTAATAGTCTTATATTTTTTAAAATATAAATTATCTATTAAGAAATTCTTTTAAATGATATATACTGAGAATTTGATTCCCACACGATTAAATAATGTTTTATAGGGATGAAAATTGAAAAAGTATCATTTAATAAAGTATTGAATTTATAAATACAATATTACATTATTAGAAAAAATTAAAAGTAGCAAGTAAAAGCATAGGAAACGGCGGCGTTTAACTGGGTTTAATAGACCCGTCATTTGTTGTCGAGCTACATCAGCTCATATAATAATAAAATTCATATATTTTATTTTATTTTGGTTTTTAATTTTTTTAATATAAAGTACTGGGTTTAGTTAATAACAAAGAATAAAGATGTATAATTGGGTTATTTATTTATTTAGTTTTTGTAATTACTATTATTATAAATTTAGAAAAGAAATAGATGTGATGGAATAATGAGAGGGAAAAAAGGAAAAAAGAGAAGAGGGCCATTTTCTGATCAATTCACATGATGGAAGAAGTGGTTCAAAAGCAATGCTCTACTCAACCACTTCCTCCATCATTACAAACACAAGGAATTTAGAGGTACACAAAATTTTGTTCTTTTGTATTTGGGGAGTTTGGTAAAAAGGGCTTTTCATTTCATTAGAGAGAGAGAGAGAGAGGGGTAAAAAGGGCTTTTCACTTCATTAGAGAGAGAGAGAGAGAGAAGGGTGAAAAGGGCTTTTCATTTCTTAGGGAGAGAGAGAGAAGGGTGAAAAGGGCTTTTCATTTCTTAGGGAGAGAGAGAGAAGGGTAAAAAGGGCTTTTCATTTCTTAGGGAGAGAGAGAGAAGGGTAAAAAGGGCTTTTCACTTCATTAGAGAGAGAGAGAGAGAGAGAGAGAAAGAAGGGTAAAAAGGGCTTTTCATTTCATTAGGGAGAGAGAGAGAGAGAAGGGTAAAAAGGACTTTTCACTTCATTCCTTTTTTTTGAAGATTAGAAGTAGCAGATGAAGTTTTACATCAATACCATCAATGACTATTTCACTAACCTAACCATGAAATGACAACAAACTAAGTGAGTGAAATCCAAAAGGGGAAGAGAAAAAGGAGCATAAAAGGTAAGGTAGGGAGCTCTTACTTTTGTTCTGCCCATCATATGCATATAACCTTTTCATACATTTTCTTTATTCACAAGCCAATTTGGTATCAAAGCTACTCAAGCATATTGCAAAAGCCTGAAAAGCAGACAGCGGATATCGATAATCCATCGTGAACATGTCTTTCCCGACCTTCCCGAACTGAAGAATGATCTTGTCGTGCTCCGGTGGCCCTGGTTGAGACGGGGTTGGAGCACCAGCCCCTGGTTGTATTGCTGCAATCAACTGAAAATTCTTAACCGACGCAACCGTTACCCGCCCACGAAAGTTCAGGCACCAACATTGTAGCTGCTCGTGCCATCTCGGCGGCTTGTTTTTTAGTACCAAAGGTCTCATCTTTCCCTCCTCGTCGCCATCCAATGCTGCCCGCCCAATTTCGGAGAATCTAGCACTACTAAACTCCATGGAATGATCCAAGGCTTTTGAGAATGACGCACTCCGAAACGAATCGTCGAGAGAGTTCGGAGGGAGGAGCTCAGGTTGGCCTGGAACAACACCCCCTGCATCGAGGGAAGACACTGGTATCGAATGCATTATACAGTGCATTCTCCGGGGTCCCCGTGTTCCTAAGACATTAAGTTCATAACTTATATGAGCTATGTTGTGACTCCCAGTCGGGACTTTCGGCGACACTTTTTTCGAATAGAATCTACGGCTAGTTTTCCCCGGAAGAGGGAGCGGGGCAGCGGTGTACGGAGGTTGAGTATCATAGACGATGAATTTCGTTCCAAGAAAATTCGACCTGGATATAAACACGAAACTTGAATCGGGAAAGACATAAGCAGAAGATATATTTCTTCAAGGCTGTTCGTGCAAGTGTTATCTCACCTCAGCTTTCCGATGTACGAGCTACTCGATCTCGAAATGTTTTCTGCATCCATCGAGATGATATACTCCGTGCTAGTCGTTCTTCGTGTACGCTTAGCAGAGAGAAGAAACTTCCCGTTTTCAACCAGAAGAGCTGGACGATTCGAGTAACAGAGATTATAAACAGATTCAGATGTTCAACAATGAGGTGAAGCAGATAAGCATATTCCATACCAGGGCTAAGACACAAGTAGAGATGGTATGTTAGGTTCGATTTGTCCCTCTTAATGAAGCATTGAACGGATCCATCGCGTGGTCCGGGCTAAATTCAAGAACAAAAAGAATGAACAATGAGTCGTAATCTCTAACATTTGATCCTACAAATACCAAAAATCATACCTGCTTCAGTGACACAGGAAACGTAAGCTTCCCACAAACTTCCGGGCCTTTAACGATCTCCATACACATAATTCTCCAAGAACGACACACCGCAGCACAGGCCACGACGTTCTTTCGTGAAGGCCATGTACATTCACTCTCTTCAAGTCTTCGAACGACATCATACAACAGCTCGGGTGGAAGATTAGCCCAGCAGCCATTCTGAACAACAGGAGACTGATCATGAACATCATTTAACGACGACGCATTCGACTTCCCTCTATGATGACCACTCAACTTGACCTCGAAACCTCGTCTAGATAAGCTCCCAATGCTATCCCTAACATCACGAACAATGCTTCGAAACGACATTCTACACGAAAATGATATCAAATCTCGATGCCCCTTCCACTATATATGAATTGTCATGTGCTTATGGCTGACAAAGGTTACAAAGTGCTTCAGAATCTTGTAAATTAAGGCCAAAAGTTCAAGAAAAAGAGATAAGTATTGCGAAAAAGCTGCTTTATGATGCATCATAAAGTCTAATCTGGCTCAAAATGGCTCTTTATTCTAGCACAATAAGAACATTTGAAACTACATAGATCCAAAACAAGATAGAATCTGAACCTTTCTGAATCCATCAATATTATGCAGAAATTGCACAAATTATGAACAGAATCAACAAAAACTAGGTCAAAATTTTGTATCCGGACAGAAAAAAACTGGTACGAATTAAGAACACCAAGAAACACGAACCTGTAAACGATGATTTAAGGTCGATCAGACAGGTGAAATCGGATCAAGCTCTTGAACTAAGAACAGAGAACTGAAGATCTGGCAGTAAACGAAGGGATGAGGAGCAGAGAAACTTGAACGAGTTTTTTCTCGGGAAAATCACAACATTTTCCCGGAAAATCAGTGTGAAAATGATAGAAAAGTGAGAGATGGAGAAGAAAAGGAGAAATCTAAAGCGAAAAATCGTAAGTTTTTGGCGAAGTATCAGAGAAAATCAAGATATTGGTATGAACACTGAAATCCCAGAAATGGAAATCAAAGCTTTGAATCAGTCGTCTCAAAAAAGTCTCTCTCTCTCTCCTCTTTCTCTCTCTAGGGCGGACCCCAAAGGGTCATTGAATTTAGCTAACGATGAAGAACCAAAGAAGAACAGCTAAAGTGATTCCATTTTCCACCAATTTTCAAGTAATTTCCTTTGCAAATTTCACCCATAAATATTTTATTTATTTATTTATTTTCTGGGCGATAATTCCCACTAACAGTTCATGACCGAAATGGGCATTTGACTTTCCCCGTGCATTGTCTGATAAGAAGAAAAAAAAAAAAAAAAGGTCTTTGGGGAGTTTTGATTCAATGCGGCCGTTCCTATTGTACCACTCAATTTAGTCAACTATACTTTCCATTACTTTCTCTCTCTCTCTCTCTCCCTTGTGATCTTATTCCTTTATCCTTTTTCTTTTCATGAACTACCAAATAATTTATTTGTCTTTTTTTTTATTTATTTAATGTATTTTCTTTTAATAATTTAATGTCTTAAAATGGCAAGTAATAAAGTCAATCTCATCATTTTTTTATTATTATTGGATGTACAACTTTTCATGCACCGTTGAGGATATAAAATTCAAAATTATCATATGATCACGTTACTGACTACGAGCCATCCACTTGGTTTGACTAGATCGAAATTGGAATAGAGAGTACTATTTGACTTACACAGTAGGGTTATGAGAAGCAACCGGTCATATTGTCTGCGCCAACTGCCATTTAGCTAATAAGCCCGTGGATATCGAGGTTCCACAAGCGGTACTCCTGATACTGTATTTGAAGCAACCGGTCATATTGTCTGCGCCACTAAAACAAGTTCTTGCGAATGGGAAAAATGACGGTTTGAATGTGGGTTGTATTTCTCCGAGATTAAAGAAAACATATTCTTTCCTATTCTTTACCCGACCCCGAAGTAGAGTAATAATAATGTTGTACATTACCTGCCTTAGAATCAAAATATATGAGCGGCATGTAATGATACGCCATGTCATTATGTAGCATTTATGATGACCCAACTATGATTTTGGATCAAATGGTTAGCCACATTGACCTATGTTTCACGTGTCTCTCTACCTTCTCGAATTCTACTAAGTGACCAAAGACCGATCTAAACGAAACCCTAATAAAATATTTAAAATTACAAAAGTTGAGAATAAATAAAAAGAAAATATATAATTAAAATGTAAACTAAACCACGCATGCATGAATACGTTGAAGTGACCAAATGCCTTTTCTTTTTTTTGTAAGTTTTTGTCCCAAAAAAAAATAATAATAATAAAAGTCTATTCCCATTTATTACCCTAAAATAAAACGGGTCGGATCTCGAGATTTCGGGTCGGGTCGTATTGTGACCCGTTATTAGAGTTTGACTTTGACCAATAATAATGGTGCAGCCACGCTAATACTTCGACTACTCAGAGGAAATGATGAAACTTCCGGGGGACCTCAATTATTATTATTATTTATTACTGTTTTCATCATTATTCTTATTTAATGAAACATTCAAAAAAAAAAAAAAAAAAA